ATTTGCTAAGTGCGATATCTGGGTCTATTTTAATATTCATTTTCATATGTGTTTTGAACGTTCTAACCATGCATTCAACCTGGCCATTGGATTGCTGGTGATAAGCAGATGTAAGCACATGTTTAATACCAAAATTGTTGCAAAATTTTTCAAAATCGTTACTCGTAAAGTTAGTGCCGTTATAGTAACTATAGTTTCAGGTATTCCGTATAGCGAAATAGTTTTAAAGATTTCTTTTAAAGTAACATCAGTCGTAATATTTTTAACAGGAATAATAATTGGAAATTTGCTGTAGGCATCGACTATTATCAACCAATTTTTTGTGAAAAACGGACCCGCATAATCTATATGTATCCTTTCAAACGGTTTGGTTGCCGAAACCCATGGTTTTTGTATCTTTATAGGATTATCATGATATATATTACAATCGTCACAACTTTTCACTTCCATAACGATATCATTATTTATACCAGGCCACCACATGTAATCTTTGGCTAAGGATTTGATTTTTCCTGCTCCCAAGTGACCTTCATGTAATGACTGTAGTATAGTTTTTCTCATAGAAGACGGAATTATGATTTTATTGCTTTTGTAAAGACAATCCTTAATTATACTTAATTCCAATTCAAAGTTTTTATACATATTATTTATTATAGGTCTATTGTTATTAATATCATTTATGACTTGTTTTAATTCCGTATCTTTCAAAGTTTCATCACGAATTTGATCAAAGTTAATAGGTAAATCCTCATATTCATTTATTATGGTTACATCTTCAATAGTTTCATCACGACATTCTTGTGGTAATCTTGAAAGGCAATCAGGAACAACATTATATTTACCGGCTTTATACTTTATATTAAAATCATATCCTCCTAATTATTCCACTTCTGGAGTCTTAACGACATGGTGCTATTATCCTTAAGACCCTTGGTGAAGATGTGAACTAGAGGCTTATGGTCAGTAATAATTGTAAATTTTGTGCCGATTAAATATTCCTGAAATCTCTTTATAGCGAACATTATAGCGAGAGCCTCACGCTCAATATTGGTATTGTTCATTTCAGACTTTAATAAAGTTATCGACGCGAAAGCTATAGGTTTTTCTTTACCATCTTTTTCAATATGAAATAGTACAGCTCCTAAACCACATTTTGATGCGTCAGTGGCTATCCCTATAGGTAATTCAGGGTTAAAATATGTCAAAGCAGGTGGAAGACTAATTAACTTCTTTAGATCATTAAAACTTTTAGAGTGTTCTAGGTTCCAAGCCCATTTTTCTTTATTGACAATCTTATAAAGAGGATCGGCAATTTCCGCAAAATTGTTCAAAAATTTTCTATAGTAGCCAGCCATTCCCAGAAATGTTGGATAATTCAGCAGCTGATTTTGGTTCTGGCATATTAATTATTGCTTCAATTTTGTCGTGATTAGCATGAATCCCCTTAGCGTCAATATCATGACCCAGGAACCTCACTTTGTTTTTAAAGAACGCACTTTTATTAAAGTTAGGTATTAGCCCATACGATGATATCCTATCAAATACTTTTTTTATGTTGTTTAGGTGGGCTTCATCGTTTTTTCCAGTTATAAGTAAATCATCAATATAAAATATAACATCATCCATGTCACCGAAGATTTGATCCATAATCTGTTGAAAAATTGCAGATGAGGTCTTAAGCCCAAAAGGAAGTCTAGAAAATTGGTAATATCCCTTATGCGTAGATATGGTTAAAATATTTCTGCAACTTTTATCAATTGGAATCTGTAAGAAAGCATTTTTAAAGTCAATCTTCGTAAATTTCTTTCCTTCCGAAAGTTTAGCAATTAGATCATTAATTCGTGGTAGAGGAAATCTAAAGTCTTCTAGAGCTGGGTTTACAGTATCCTTAAAATCAGCGCAAAGCCTAATGCTCCCATCTTCTTTGTAGACAGCGGTAACAGGACTTGCCCATCGGACATCATTCACCGGCTCAATTATTTTATCATGTATCCATTTTTTGAGTTCATTACTAACAAGATCAATTTTTGAATAAGGGATACGTCTAGGCGGTATAATTTTAGGTTGGGCATCACTTCTTAAATATAACTTGACACTTGCTTTGTTGATTGGCCCATTAGTTAATTTCGATTCACACTCTTTAATCAATTTTTTTATTTCATCTTCATAATTAGTGTCAATATTTGCTATAAATTTATTTAAAATATATTTGAAAGCATTGATCCACATACGTCCCAACAAGGCATTTTTACTTGATTCAACCACTACCGCTTGTAAATATTTGGAAATACCATCATAAGTCACTTTAACTTGAGTAGTTCCTATGATTTTGATTAATTTCCCATCATAAGCAGTGAGTTGTAGCTCGGATTTCTTAAGATCTCTAATACCAAGTTTTTTAGCCAGACCATGAGGTATAATAGTGTATTTGGATCCATTGTCCACTTGCATACAAGTAACAATGTCGTTCACTTTTAAAGTAGTCATAAAAGCGTTATCTTTGTCATTAATCATATCGCCAGATAAATTGTTGACATTAAAATCATTATCATCTTTGTTCTTTGTAGAGTCGCCTTTTTCTTCAATAATTTCTTCAATATTCATGTTGTAATCATTATTGTATTGTATTTGCTTTCTATTATTTTCGTCGCCACTTCTATAATTATTTGAGTTGTTGTTATATTGTATTTGATTTCTCTGATTATTATCATTACCTCTATAATTATTTGAGTTGTTGTTATATTGTATTTGCTTTCTCTGATTATTATCATTACCTCTATAATTATTTGAATTGTTGTAATAAGATTGGTAATTGTTACGATTTCCGTCACCGTATTGGATTTGTTTTCTTTGATTATTATCATACCATGTATTATTTCTACCATAATTCGATTGATTATTATTATTATAGCGATAATTGTTATAGTTATAATTGTTATAATTATCGTGGTATCGCGAATTATTATTACCATAATTGTATCTAAAATTATTATTGTAATTCCCATTTCTATATCTATTATCATAATTATTTCTAAAATTATTTCTAAAATTATTATCATTTCTACTGCAAAAATTTTTATCTTTATCGGACTTTTTATCCTTATTTATATAACTTATATCATTATCCTCCGACTTAATACTACTAGAATCCAATTTCACCCCTAATTCCACCATCTGATTCAATGTAAGGTCAAAATTTTTGGAGAATTTGTATTTAATCTTATCGTTTAAGGTAGATGTCCGTAATTTCTCTTTTAATCTACTATCGTCCAAAAAATTACATTTCTTATGAAGTTTCGATACTCTAATGTACCACAGCATAAAACTCTCTGATGAGTTTTGTTGAAGAAGATTAAATTTATTAATTAAAGTATTTAAATTTAGCGCTGGTAAAAGATAGGTTAACTTTTTAATCACAATTTTAAGATCTAAAATATCGGTATCAGAACAAATTGCCTTAATGTCGTCAAAAACTTCGTCTGATAAATTATTAAGCAAAGTATTAATTTTAATAGAGTCCGATAATGTACTGGTCGAAAAGTAATTTAATATTCTGTCTAAATAAATTTCAGTAAGAGGACCCACTAACTTAGGGATCTTATGTGTAAATTCTTGTTTAATTTCCATATTTAATTAATAAGACACATATATAAGCAATTATAACATTTATTATTTTATTAATTCAAGTTTTGGTATAACTATTTATGTTTTAATGAATATACAAATTAATTCAATGAAATCACTATCGCTGTAAATATAGTGTTTTCCGTTTAATAATTCAAAGCAATTTATCATGTCTCTTAAATTCATAAATTCAAACAGTACATCCTCCGTACCGTTTATCCTAGAAAAGTTGATATCACAATTATAAGTTAAATCAAATAGAATATCGTAGATGGAAATTTGATGGGGTACATACATTTAGTACTTTGAAGGCGAACATAATTGATGAAAATAATTTTGAAATGACTTACCCTTTTTATCCATCTTATATAGAATTGTTTGTATCATTTTATAATTTTTTTTATTAACCATATTTACAAAGGGAAAAAAATTTTATTTTTAAAAAAAAATTTCCATGAGGATAGTTTCTTTTGCCAAAACTGGAGCACCATGTAGAGTAACATGAATACGTGCACAAAGGTAAAAAGGTGTTTATTTATATTTAACTTTATTAATACTATTAATACTATTTTTTCCATTTCACACTTCTATTATATACATTTTTTATAAGTCCAAATTAGAATATAAACGAAATACAAAAAAGTAAAATAATATTAAAAAAGTAAGGTTACGCCGTTTATAAAATAAAATTAGATTATAACAAATAACCAAAATTAGATTATATAAATAATAAAAATTAGATTATAAAAAATTCAAAAACAAAAAGAATTCAAAAACAAAAAGTATATAACGCAACACCTATATATTTTATATTTGTTTACTCATTATTTGTAATTTGTGAAGTGCTATATAATTGTTGATTCAAAGTTTTATAAATGATATTATGAATTCAAATAAATTAAATGGACCTTATTGATTGAGTTTATAAAATTTTGTGATTCATATATAAATGACGAATCAAAGATTTATAAAAATCAATAACGTATTGATTTTTGATGGTATTGATTTTACAATTACACCGGGTCTGCAGGTCTCTGAATAATCACAAAAATATTAAATTATATGTATAATTTTTAGCAGGCTTCAAATTTATTTTATTTATTTTAGATAAATATTTCTGCACAACAATCATTAGTACAAGAACATTATTGTGGATTACTCAACACTAAGTGCGATTATTGCGATTCTCTAAATTTTTTATTGGAAAAACCCACAGATGGCAAATTAAGAATTGCTGTCATAAGGGTAAAGTTAAGATACCATCAATCCGATATATTCCTTTTTTACAAGACCTTTTATCTAATCCTAACAATGAATTTCATTCAAACTTTATGAAATATATAAGATCTTATAATAGTTCACTTGCGTTCGCATCCATGGGAGCACAGATTTCTAATAGTTTAAACCCAGGCCCATATTGTTTTAGAGTTCATGGGCAAATTTATCACCGAACATCTCATTTATATCCTTCCACTGGGATGCCTCCTAAATTTGCACAACTATATGTCCTTGAGACCACCCAGGCTGTTAATGGCAGGTTACACATGAAAGAAAATTCTGGTTGCAATGAGGATCTCTTAAAAAGATTAGATATTTTAATAAGACAGAATAACCCATTTTCTATTAGTTTTAAAACCTTGGGAGAAATTGAGAAAGAAGAAAAAAATAGGGCTATTCAAGAAAATCGTCCAGTTCAAAAAATCAATATGATTTTTTGTGCAGATCGCTCAAGTGACAAGCGAAGATATAACATTCCTAATATAGATGAAGTAGCTATGATTTTTACAAATGATGATGGTGAACCCCCATTTAAACGGGATATCAAGGTCTATCCTCGAGTTGATGGTAGTGATCTGATAAATATAAATATATTAAGCCCTAATTTTGATCCAATGGTATATCCTCTATTATTTCCTTTTGGTGACCCTGGTTGGAAACCAGATTTAAAGGGTGAAGATACAGGGCGTACAAGGACAAATATCTTACTACTACAGTTTAAAATATTTAGATTAGCAATTCGTGAAAATGAATTCAACCCAATCCTTTTTGCTGGGAAATTATCACAACAATATATTGTTGATTCCTATTTACAGGTTGAGGCGAATATTAAATTTTATTAGACAAAATCAGCCAAAATTACGAGTAGATGAATATTCTGGATTAATGGACTACTTGGAAACAAAGTCAAACAATATAATTCCCGGCAAAGCAGTAATATTACCATCATCTTTTCAAGGTTCTCAAAGAAATATACGAGAACGCTATCACGATGCAATGGCCATTGTGCTCAAATTTGGCAAACCTGATTTGTTTATTACTTTTACATGCAATCCTAATTGGCGTGAAATTAAGGAAAATCTATTTCCCGGGCAAAGTCCTACAGATAGACCAGATTTAATAGCCCGTGTTTTTAAATTGAAATTAAATGAATTATTGTTCGATATAAATAAAAAAAATTATTTGGTAAATCTATGGCTTTTATATATACAATCGAGTTCCAAATAAGAGGTTTGCCTCATGCCCATATACTTATTATTTTAAACGATGATAGCAAAATTGAAACATCTCAAGCTATAGATAAATTTGTTTGTGCCGAAATGCCAGATAAAATTCTCGATCCTAAACCTTTTCAGATTGTTACCCATTTTATGATACATGGTCCTTGCGGGATATTTAACCCCAAATCGCCTTGCATGGAAAATGGCATATGTACCAAAAAATTTCCGAAGAATTTTCAAATGGAAACAAGACCAAATATTGATGGGTATCCATATTATAAAAGGCGAGATAATGGTATTACAATTCTTTCCGGTAAACCTACGGATAATCGTTATGTTATTCCATATAATCGATATCTAATGTTAAAATTCAATGTTCACATTGACGTGGAAATTTGTACATCTATTAAATCGGTAAAATATATCTTTAAGTATATTTATAAGGGCTATGACTGTACTAATGTTGACATTAATGTTGCTTCAAATATAAATATTCATGACGAAATTAAATCACATTTAAATGCGCGATATGTGAGTGCAATAATCTCCATGACCGCTCGCACGCTGTTATTCGCTTAGGAATTCATTTACCTTTACAACAGCCAGTATATTTCACTGCTGGACATGAAAGAGATGCTTTATTGAGATCAGAAAATAAACATACTACTTTAACGGCATGGTTTGAGTTAAATAAGACAGATCTAAATGCTAGACAATATCTTTATAGGGAAATACCTTATCATTATGTGTTTACAAATTACCATTGGAAACTAAGAAAAAAACGATTAAATGTAATTTCGAGAATGTATTCCGTTCATCCTAATTCTGGTGAACGATTCTTCCTTCGATTATTATTACTTCATGTTAGCGGGGCTACAAGTTTTGATTATTTAAAAACTATTAATGGAATTTTAATGAGTACTTAAAGAGGCAGCTATTAAAAGAAATTTGTTATCAGATGATAAAGAGTGGGAATCATGCTTAGAAGAGGGATCAATATATCAAATGCCGTCACAACTTCGGAGTACTTTTGCCTTTATCTGCATTTTTTGTCAGCCTGAAAATCCTGCATATCTATGGAATAGGTTCAGATTTATGATGATTGAAGATTATTTGCGTCAATATTCAGAAGTAATTGCAATAAACATGGCTTTAATGGACATTGAAAACGTTTTTCTTGATCATGGTTTATGCTGTCAAAGTTTTGATCTTCCTTCACCTACAAAAATTCCCCCAAAACAACATTATGATGCCCATGTTGAAGCTGCCGATTCAATCGAGCGTATATCTAAATTAAACCGATTACAAAAATATGCTTTTGATTTAATTATACAAGCGATTGAATTAGAAAATATTCCAGAAAGATATTTCTTCGTGGATGGCCCTGGAGGTTCAGGTAAAACGTATCTTTACAATACCTTAATGTGTTATATAAGAGCAAAAAATCAAATTGTATTGCCTTTTGCAACCACCGGCATATTCTCTATTCTTTTAAAGGGGGGAAGAACCATCCATAGCGGATTTAAATTACCTGTGCCTATCTTTGAAACTTCTACATCCCATATGAATTTACATAGTTCGCTAGCTCTAGACATTAAAAATAGCAAATTGATTATTATTGATGAGGCCACAATGATGACTAAACACGCTTTGCGATGCATTGACCGATTACTTAAAGACATTATAAAAAATTCCCACCCATTTGGCGGAAAAGTAATTTTATTAGGTGGTGATTTTAGACAGACTTTACCAGTAGTGCCTAAAGGCTCCAAAGTCGATATTATAGAGTCCTGTATAAAAAGTTCATATTTATGGAGTTATTTTAAAATAATACATTTGATTGATAATATGCGTATTTCATCAGATCAAGTTGATTACAATGCTTGGTTACTTAAAATTGGAGATGGGCTATCACGCAGCAATTCTGATCTTCCTACAAATAGTGTTGAAATCCCACCTTATTTGCTTGAAAATGATTCATTAATAAAATGTGTGTATGGTAATTCTATAGAAATTGCTGATATAGATAGTCTTTCTACTAAAATAATATTAACCACCAAAAATAAAATTGCACTTACCCTCAACAACGATATCATTAATATAATTTCAGGCCCTATCAAACATTATTATAGTGCAGATTCCATTGAAAGCGATAATAAGGATGATATACTGAATTTTCCACTAGAACTTTTGCATTCACAAACTCCATCCGGTATGCCACCTCACAAGCTAACACTTAAGGTTGGTACAATTGTTATGCTATTACGCAACTTGAGCCCAAAGAAAGGACTTTGTAATGGTACCCGTTTAATCATACGACATTTACATATTAATTTTATCGACGCTGAGGTATTGACAGGCACTAATAAGGGTTATCGAGTTTTTCTCCCACGAATAGATCTAGCTCCAAGTTACCATTTACTTTAAAAAGACGACAGTTTCCTATAATTCCCGCTTTTGTGATTACAATAAATAAAAGTCAAGGACAAACTTTTGATCATGTAGGCTTATTCCTCCCTGAGCCCGTCTTTGCCCATGGACAACTATATGTGGCTCTTACTAGATGTAAATCTCAAAATAATATGAAAATTATGATTTTGCCATCAGAATTACAAGGAAAAATTTTAAAAAATGATAAAACATTCACACAAAATATCGTATATAATGAAATCTTAAATTCATAATTTGTAAGAAATTTAAAAAAGTCACCAACTTTGTTATTCACCATCAAATCACCAACTTTACATCATCTTCAAAAACTAAACCACCTTGAGCAAAGAAAAGAGAACTTCTTCACCATCGCTAAACCATCTTCCTCACCAAAAACAGTATATTCTATTTTATAATTTCAATTTACACGTTTTATTTCAGGTTATTTACAGCAAACTACGAGCAAGAAAATCACAACATCATCTTCAAAAACGAAACTACATTGAGCAAAAAAAGAGAACTTCTTCACCATCGTTAAACCATCTTCCTCACCAACAACAGTATATTCTATTTAATTTCAATTTACACGTTTTATTTCAGGTTATTTACGACAAACTACGAGCAAGGAAATCACAACATCATCTTCAAAAACGAAACCACCTTGAGCAAAGAAAAGAGATTGAAATCTCCTTTTTTAGGTAAAATTTTCTATATTATAAAATTTATTATATTATATTTTTTATATGGCTACAAATGCATATGTGTTGTAACCCGATAATCATCAACTCTTGAAGTATAAATATTTATTATATTTTCTTATAATTCATATCTTTGTCTCTTTTTTTCTATTTCTTCCTTCTTATTTTCATTCTTTTTTTCATTTCTTTGCTCCCCTAAAATCCATCTCCTACCTTCACGCGGTGGGGAGTGAACAGTAATTCTGACTAACAGGAGCTCTGGTAAATAATGTTAGTATTTAGGGTGCTAATAAGAGATATTGTTTCATTTTTGTAATTTAAAATATAAATTTCAAAATCACATCTCATAAAAAGGAAAATGTCTGATTCATCCATCATCAAATAAAGGTAAAATATATTATTCATCAATCATTGAATAAAAAAGACAATTCCTCTCTCTTAGTCTTAATGGATTGGAATTGGCCTGAAGGAGGAGGGGGAGGGGTAAAAAGAATTATCGTAAAAGAACGAATAAAATTCTCATCCCCGTCATTTTTTACGGGTTATCAACTAGTATTATATAGAAAAGGCATACAAATCCAAAGAAAATCATATAGATAAAAAGTTAAAATTTCAACAAGACCTTAATTCCCAAAACTTTGTTGACCCAAAAATAGTTAAGGTAAATTGTTGATAAATACAAATTTTTAAACTTTTTTTAGATTATAAAAAATCTCCTTTACACCTTTTGAAGGATCTTCAAGTGGACTTAGACTTTGTATACTCAGACTCAAAGTTCAAAAATTGTAATTTTATAATTATATACAGTTAATTGTAATTCTTAAATATCATGATTAATTTAATTTTTTTAAATATTTAAAGCCATAGATGACCCACTCGTTAAAATCATTCAACATACATTTAAACATTTTTATAATCCAACTACCAATATTTGGAGGAAATATCATGCTACTAGCTTAAATTTAGCGTCAGCAAAAAAAAAAGTCTCTCAAAATATAGGAAGGGTACTAACTGCTCCATCACGATTGGAAACAAAGCTAGATGGGAATTGCTTTTACCGGTAATTAAAAATTTAAAAATAATTGTTGTATTTTTTTTACTAATATACATAGAATATGGTTTTGTTTCTTTCTTTACCTTAAATTTTAATGATTGTATCCTATATTAATTCATAATATTATTTTTTTAAAACATTGATAGGTTTTTAGAAACAGTAACATAATTAAATTTTTTAAAAAATAATTAGATGTATATGTATGGAGATAACAGGAAAACAAGACTCCTATGGTTTGATTAGATCACATATGGTCTTGCTGATGCTGCAAAAAATAATGATAAAAAATATATTAGATTATACTCAGGGTCAAAATACGTGTGAAGATGATGTGCAACAGTATGTAATAGAAAAGGCAAATAAGAATGGTGAATGGGCAACGGATATTGAATTGCGAAGTGTTGCCACACTTCTCAATACCCCGATATTGGTGTATGCTAGGTATGGAGCTTCATTTTGCTAGCAAATGTATCCACCATTTAAATATGATGATGGAAATATAAAAAAATTTGACCAAAACATTTATATTAACAATCCTGAATCCCATTTTGTAAATGTTATTGATTTTGAAGATTAATTACAAATGTTGATATTTTATATTTTTTACCAAAAGTATTTTAGTTGATTGTATTTGTCTTGTTTTTATGCATATTTTTTTTTATTTATCCTATTTTAACATATTATAAATAGATATATAGACTACAAAGATATCTTTTTTAATCATACCATTTTTATATACATTTCATTACAACACCAACACCATATAATCATCCCAATTATTATTTTACTTTGATTAATTTGTATTTTTAAAATCTGAATTAATCTTTTTTTTTATCATCAACTCAAAAATGACTATATAAAAAATTTAGTATATAACATGAATATCATTTTTTCAAATAAAAAAAAATTGCCACCAAATAAGTTTTAATAAGGTGTTAACACTGTCGGGGGGGGGGGGGGTATATTATTTTTATTTTTTTTATGGTTTTTTTTTTAAATTTTTTATTTTTGCCTATAAATTTTTTATGGTAAAATATAGGAATTATTAATTGCGCATATTTAAGTTATATTTAGGAGAATTTTGCATACAAATTTAATTTTTTTTGTGGTAAAATATTTAAGTTATTTTTTGGAGAATTTTTCCTACAAATTTAATTTTTTTGTGGTAAAATATAGGAATTATTAATTCCGCATATTTTAGGTGAATTTTGCCTACAAATTTAATTTTTTTTATGGTAAAATATTTAAGTTATTTTTAGGAGATTTTGCATACAAATTTAATTTTTTTCATGGTAAAATATTTAAGTTATTTTTAGGAGAATTTTGCCTACAAATTAAATTTTTTATTTAAATCTAATTTTTATTAATTTTGCATTAGGGATAAAATAGACCCCACCTTTGAAGTTTAAGTGATTTTTAACATTTCTAGTGAAGGGTTAAATCGAAATATAGTATTAAATGATGCAATTAAATATAGTATTATAATTTATACACGAAATATAGTATTAAATAAATTTTATTCATTAAATTGAAATATATTATTGAAGTTAATACAATCATTTATAAAATGATTAAAAATGTCCAATCATAAATTTTTAAAATTAAATTAATTTAGGTAAATTAATTAAGAACATTATGGGAGCTCATTAAGAGAAATTTATTTTTTAAACTCTATTTAAAAAAATAATATCAAAAGATATAATTTATAAATTTCAACAAATTCAATAAAATAATTTATATAAAAAATGTGTAATTGTTTGTAAATTTGAAGCTTGCTAGGGATTGTTGTGTGTCAATTTTATAGAATAAGTCATCACAAGGTAAGATCTTTAATGTTTCCAAGTAACCTTTAAAATAAAACATACATTATAATTTATAAATTTCAACATAAAATTAATAAAAAAAATTATATAAAAAATGAGCAATTGTTTGTAGATTTGAAGCTTGTTAGGGATTGTTGTGTGTCAATTTTATAGAATAAGTCATCACAAGGTAAGAACCTTAATGTTCCCAGGTAACCTTTAAAATAAGACATACAATATAATTTATAAATTTCAACATAAATTCAATAAAATATTTATATAAAAAATGAGTAATTGTTTGTAAATTTGAAGCACAAGGTAAAATTTATTATTTACTCAATCATTCTAAATTTCCTAATTCATAGGCATCTTAAGATTTATGTAATTTAAATTTTTACATTGCTTTATAGTTTACTAAATATTGGGAAATAAGTAAGGTATTACTATGGTAGTACTTTTTGGGACATTCTAAAATCTAATATATAAAGATTTATGTATTTTAAAAAGGTATTACTTTGGTAGTACTTTTTGGTGACATTCTAAAATCTGATACTTTATAGTTTACTAAATATTGGGAAATAAGTAAGGTATTACTATGGTAGTACCATGTCATTGGGTAGTACTTTTTGGTGACATTCTAAAATCTGATATATAAAGATTTATGTATTTTAAAAAGGTATTACTTTTTGGTGACATTCTAAAATCTGATATATAAAGATTTATGTATTTTAAAAAGGTATTACTATGGTAGTACTTTTTGGTGACATTCTAAAATCTGATTTATAAAGATTTATGTATTTTAAATTTTTATATTGCTTTATAGTTTACTAAATATTGGGAAATAGTAAGGTATTACTATGGTAGTACTTTTTGGTGACATTCTAAAATCTGATATATAATGATTTATGTAATTTAAATTTTCATATTGCTTTATAGCATCTTGTAAATCTTTATAGGATAAAAATATATATCCTTCTTTCATATTTAAGGTATTACTATGGTAGTACTTTTTGGTGACATTCTAAAATCTGATATATAAAGATTTATGTATTTTAAAAAGGTATTACTATGGTAGTACTTTTTGGTGACGTTCTAAAATCGGATATATAAAGATTTATGTATTTTAAATTTTTATATTGCTTTTTATAGTTTACTAAATTTCGTCCACGATATTATTTATACATCCATTTTATTATAAATACAAATTTTAAATGATTCGTTATATTTTCGTAACTTTTTTATCGATTCGGAAAATGCGTATAAATAAGAAAAAATATAACTTTTATTTCTTGCTAATACGCCATTTGGCGTAAGTCTAGAATGACTTTGACATCAATGATGATAAATATATAGAATTCGAAATCATTGAAAGTATTATTTAATACTTCTTTAAAATTTATTATGATATTGTAAATTTAGTAAAAATTTTTATTCAAATAAAAT